AGTTCGGAGAGTCCATGGAGCATGACTATCGGTCGGCCTCGAAGAGATTCTGGCAAACTGTCCGGCGCCTCAGGAGGGGGAAGCAGTTCTTTGCCAACACCATGTACGGTGCGGTTGGAGGGCTGCTGACCTCGACTGGGGATATTGTCGGACGGTGGAAGGAATACTTCGAGGTTCTCCTCAATCCCCCCATCACGTCCTCCGCTCCGGAGGCAGAGGCTGAGGATGTTGGGGCGGATACTTCTGTCACCCTGGCAGAGGTCACCAAGGTGGTTGGCAGCCTCCTTGGTGGCAAGGCGGCGGGAGTGGATGAGATCCGTCCTGACTATCTAAAGTCTCTGGATGTTGTAGGACTGTCTTGGCTGACACGTCTCTGCAACATCGCGTGGCGATCGGGGGCGGTGCCAATGGAGTGGCAGACCGGGGTGGTGGTCCCTCTCTACAACAAGGGGGACCGGAGGGTGTGTTCCAATTATCGTGGGATCACACTCCTCAGCCTCCCTGGTAAGGTTTACTCCAAGGTACTGGAGAGGAGGCTACGGCCGATGGTCGAATCTCGGATTCAGGAGGAGCAGTGTGGTTTTCGTCCCGGCCGTGGAACACTGGACCAGCTCTACACTCTCCATCGGATACTCGAGGGTTCATGGGAGTTCGCCCAACCTGTCCACATGTGCTTTGTGGATTTGGAGAAGGCGTTTAACCGTGTTCCCCGGGGTGTCCTTTGGGGGGGTCCTCCGTGAGTACAGGGTCCGGGGTCCTCTGCTGAGGGCCGTCCGGTCCCTGTATGACCGGAGCCAGAGCTGCGTGCGCATTGCCGGCAGTAAGTCATGTCTTGATATGCATTCAGTGTCATGCATTTTACCAGCCTGGTGGTGTCCCTAGTGAGTCAAGCCAGTGGATGTCAGTCAGAGAGCACAAAGTAAGAGAGCACTTCCTGTAAATACATCCTGATACTGTTGTACAATGCTCTCAACAGTCTGTGAGTGTTCTGGACAGCTAATGTGATAGACTCTTTTAACCAAATGCAGTCTCTTTGAAGCAGACCCACTAAGCAGTGACTCACGACCCTCAGGTACCACAGTAAACAGCACAAAGTACTCTTTATTCTTTACTGTTACTTTTAGTCTGCACTGACCTCTGCTTTCTATTTCTTTTCCATTATAGTCTTTTAGAAGCACATTATTAAGGACTATCTTGGGCTTTTCTTTCATTGCATGAATTTCTGACATGCTGATAAGATTAGCTTGGGCCCCTGTATCAATCCTTAAAGCAACCAATGCTCCATTAATGGGGAGAGACACAACCCATGTGTCTTCTTTGACTGTGTTAATGTCATTGTCATCTCTAACTTGTGTCTTCTCATCACATAACACCATCCCCACAAAGAAAGTCTCACTTAGGTCTGTTTCATCTACTAACCGTACTGATTTGGATTTGCCTTTTGATAGACATTGCTTTGCAAAATGGTTTTTTCCACTACATTTAGCACATGTTTTCCCATAAGCAGGACACTGTCTGGGTTCATGCCTGTTACCACATCGTTTGCATGAGTATGTTGTGTCATCTGTTTTTCTCTGCATTAGCCTTGCTTTTGTCTTATTTTTGACCACAGCTACTTTACCACTATCATGGACTGCAGTTGCATTCAATGTAGAATCATTAAATGTCTTTGCATGCTGCTGGGCTAACTCGGTGGCATGGCACATTCTCTCTGCCTCCTCCAAAGTTAGTTTAGCCTCTCTTAGCAGTCTTTCCCTCGTCCTCTTATCATAGATGCCATAGACAATTTGGTCACGTATCATGGAGTCCTTCAAATCTCAAAAATCACAAGACTGTGCTTTAAGTTTCAAATCCGTCACAAAGCAATCAAAAGTCTCATCTTGCTGCTGCATTCTTGATCTGAACACATATCTTTCATATACTGTGTTCTTCTGCGGCGAGCAATGGGCAGTGAACTTTTCCAGAACTTTATCATACTTCTCCTTGTCTCCAGGTTCTTCAAATTCAAAGGTATTGAAGATCTCTATGGCTTGAGGGCCAGCTACAGTGAGCAGAAGAGCAATCTTTCTGGCATCAGACTTGGAATCGAGTCCCAGTGCAGCTAAATACAGTTCAAATTGCTGCTTAAATGTGCGCCAGTTGCTGTCCACATTACCCACAAGCTTCAGTCCTTCTGGTGGCCTCAATGCATCCATCTTGAGCAAAACTGGAGTCAAGCGTTGTATTCACTCTTGGTACCACAAGATGCCTGGAATCGAAAAGCAACAGTTCTTCAGGAAGTTGGTCCAAGGTCGTATGAAGTGAGGACTGAGGATGGAAGCGTTCTCAGAAGGAATCGTTGTCACCTACTGAAGACCAAGGAACACTTCCAAGAGTCCAGTTGTGATGTTGAAGATGAACATGCTGTGTCTATTCCAACTGACACAATACCTGTAAAGGAATCTACTGAAGAAGAGGCATCTTCAGCACCAGTTCTGAGAAGGTCTGGACGTCAGACTAAGAAGCCTGATAGACTGATGTTGTGAATGTGTTAACCACATTTTGTTGTTTTTATTGTTTTTCCGTGTGATCACTGGTCATCACTTAAAAAGAAAAAAACAATCTTAAAAAAAAAAATCTGTTTTTGCACTTGGTGATATAAAAAAAAAAGTAACAGTGAGCTAAGCTAAATAACATGTTTACAATGTTTTATTCTTTGCATTGTGTAAGGATTCTGACTTTAAAGAAAGGGAGAGGTCTTGATATGCATTCAGTGTCATGCATTTTACCAGCCTGGTGGTGTCCCTAGTGAGTCAAGTCAGTGGATGTCAGTCAGAGAGCACAAAGTAAGAGAGCACTTCCTGTAATAAGAGATGATGTTTGTTGGACATGCAATTAAAGCTGAGCACAAGCTCATCTGTTCATTGGAAATAACTTGTTTGAGAGTTTGTTTTGATGAACAACACAAGTCAGACCTCTTCCCGGTGCATGTTGGCCTCCGCCAGGGCTGCCCTTTGTCACCGGTTCTGTTCACTGTATTCATGGACAGAATTTCTAGGCGCAGCCAGGGGTCGGAGGGGGTCCGGTTCGGGGACCACAGGATTTCATCTCTGCTGTTTGCAGACGATGTTGTCCTGTTGGCTCCAACGAACCAGGACCTACAACATGCACTGGGACGGTTTGCAGCCGAGTGTGAAGCGGCTGGGATGAGAATCAGCACCTCCAAATCTGAGGCCATGGTGCTCGGCCGGAAAAAGGTGCCTTGCCCTCTCCAGGTGGGTGGAGAGGCCCTTCCTCAAGTGGAGGAGTTCAAGTATCTCGGGGTCTTGTTCAAGAGTGAGGGAAGGATGGAGCGTGAGATTGACAGGCGGATCGGTGCAGCGTGCGCAGTGATGCGGTCGCTGTATCGGACCGTTGTGGTAAAGAGGGAGCTGAGCCGAAAGGCAAAGCTCTCGATTTACCGGTCAATCTTCGTTCCCTCCCCCACCTATGGTCATGAGCTTTGGGTAATGACCGAAAGAACAAGATCGCGGATACAAGCGGTCGAAATGAGCTTCCTCCGCAGAGTGGCTGGGCGCTCCCTTAGAGATAGGGTGAGGAGCTCAGTCACACGGGAGGAGCTCGGAGTAGAGCCGCTGCTACTCCACTTCGAGAGGAACCAGTTGAGGTGGCTCGGGCATCTGTTCCGGATGCCTCCTGGACGCCTCCCTGGGGAGGTGTTCCGGGCACGTCCCACCGGGAGGAGGCCCCGGGGAAGATCCAGGACACGCTGGAGGGACTATGTCTCTCAGCTGGCCTGGGAACGCCTTGGAGTCCCCCCGGACGAGCTGGAGGAGGTGTGTGTGGATAGGCAAGTCTGGACGTCTCTGCTTAGACTGCTGCCCCCGCAACCCGGCAACGGATGAAGCGGAAGAAAATAGATGGATGGATGGATGATGTAAAGTACAATGATTCCAAAAGTACAATGATTCTAAAAGTGCCATTATGATCTCCAGAACAACATAGGACAGACATTTAACCTGAACACCTTAAGGTTCTTAATATCTGTAGTGAAATTAAATATCTTGGCCATCTGATCACAGATTGGCTGACAGATGATGAGGACATTATTCGGCAGTATCGTTTGATGTATGTAAGGGCGAATGCTTTGGTACGTAAATTTGGTTGCTGCACTGTTGATGTGAAGTTATTACATTTTAAACAGAAACAAAAGTTGTCAGATACATTATCATTGTTTACCTCGTTAGAACAAAAATTTCATGAATATTTAAAATGTTCCTCCTGCTACTCAGTCATTAGTTCTGCAAAGTGCCACAGAACAATATTGACAGGCTGAAGACATAGTATGACTCTTATCAGTGTTAACTATCAACAATATAGTAATGTAACACCATTTCTTTTTCCATCCGCCGCAACGTTACTTTTTACCATGGGCAGCTGCGACCACTTATCTGCTGGTGCGTGTGCATCAGTCACAACTCGCGCGTAATAAGTTCTCATTTGACGTTGTATGTGAAGCAAGAGGCCGCTACTGGTGGCGCTGCTCATTGCGGAGTGTCGCACTGTCGACACTCCGCACTGTCGACACTCCGCGGGTAAAGTGCAACACAGCACTATTTTTCTTTTTATGAAGAGGAAGACGCAGCGTCCTTTAGCGCAGACGCAGAGGTACTGAGCTCTGTTCATGAAATACAACAACCTCATGTGTACATGCTCTGTGACTTTTTGTAAATTAAAAAAAGAGCATGAAAGAAACATCTGAAAATTTAGTATAATAACAGTAACACAAAAGTAAAGAAGTTCCTTTCTTGTTACGAGGAGCAAAGTTACTTTTTAAAAGTAACTTCCCCAATACTGCTCTCAATTCTGGGAATTTCAGACACTGCAGTGCACAAACAACATCTCTCTGTCCCAAAAACAGCGGCTTCATGCTTCAGTAATGTGACTGATTTACTCACAGTTCGCCTTAGATGCTTGTTCTTTGAAGCAGTTTTTTAATCTCAGCTCTCATCCTCTTACAGGTTTTACTATCCTCCAGTCCATCATGGAATCTGCTGTGGCCAATAACTGGCAGGTGACAGCGCGCTCAGTGGGGAACATCGTGGACCCCACTGAGTACCGGCGAATCATTGAGGAGATGGACCGGCGCCAAGAAAAGCGTTTCCTCGTTGACTGTGAAGTGGACAGAATAAACTCCATCTTAGAACAGGTAAGCCATACGTATGCTCCAAGAGGTTAGGTAATAATCAATATAATTGTGATAGATAGACAATACAAAATGTAGTTTATAAAAACTTTTAAAGCTGGGGTCCCCAACAAAATGAACTATGTATTACAATAGTTTTATTGTATTGGTCCTGGGACACCCCCGCTCTATAATGCAGTTTGCCTACAGGCCGGGCATTAGAGTAGGGGATGCCATCATCTCCCTCCGACAGCGCTCGCTGTCCCACCTGGAGAAGCCCGGTTCTGCTCTGAGGATCCTGTTTTTGGATTTCTCCAGTGCTTTCAACATAATCCAGCCGCAGCTTTGCAGGGACAAGCCAGAGACAGCTGGAGTGGTCTGTGACCTGTTGGAGTGGGTCCTGGATAACCTTACAGACAGACCCATAATGTTAGAATGTGCAATATGGGACCACTGTCCCTTTACTTAGTCACGTTTAGTCCATAAGTTGTATCAGTGTGAACATTTGAACCCTTAGAGCTAATGACTACCCTAATATTCTTAAACTAGGGTGTATTACAGATGTATTTGTACTTATTGTGTAAGGATTTAGGCAGACAGAGACGGATCGTGGTGTGCCAAACTCTGGAAGTTTATTTAAGTTTCTCTCAAGTTCCACTGTTTTACTCTGTTTCTTCCCCTCAGACAGAATAAAGGCAGTACACAGTTTATATAGTCATTGTCACGTCACACATCGAAAGACATACGTGTCACAAAGAGACAGTCACATCATAGTCATAACATGGAGTCCTTGTAGAGTCCTTGTACAGTCCTGCACGTAGGCCATATTGCTATCTAATACTAATACCCTCCCCTTTGATCACATAATCACATGTGATCACTCAAATCGATCAATCAATAAAATGGAAAAAGAAAAAAAAAATTCCAAAAAAAACTTCAAAAAATTATTAAAAACAAAGAAAATGTATGCATTAAACTCATAATCATCAAATCAATATCAGTGGATTTTATCCTCTATCCTGGGAAAAAATAAAAAACAAAAATAAAGTAAATAAACAAACAAAAAACAAATCAAAAACAAAAACAAACAAAAATAAAAACAAACAAAAACTATTGGACACACAAGAACTCAGCAGATTCAGTCAAAACACAGACAAAAACGAGCTGAGTCTCAATTTTGAAGCTAATTTCACTTTTAATACTCTATACTTTTATTCTAATGCTAATTGTTTACACTTCACTTATTTCACTGTATTATTTTCACTTTTTAATCTTATACTGTGTACTTTACTCTCTATTCACTATAGTTTAAACTATTCTAATCTATTCACAAATATGTTTGCATATTTGCTTCTATTGAGCCATATTCTTAAACATACATTTTAATCTAATAAATCTCTCTGTGGTTTACTTTCATTATCAGTGGCATATTATCAGTGGGATTTTGCTCCATCTATTCTCATTCTCAGGAATAAAACTGTGAACACAGTAAGGCAAATGGTCAACATTTACACTTCTATAGTGGTCAGTGATTTATTACTTTTTATTATCTAAAGATATTATTGTCAGGCAGTTTGGGATGAATGTACATCATTAATCAAATTAGTATTATCCTTACAAGAGCTAATCTATTTTAGCAGGTTTGGGGTTGGGGTCAGTTATTCTACAATGGTGTTTGTGCTGGAAACTTCTCAATATCTAAATATCTACTATTGTGTTTTTGTGCTATACACAAATGCATCAAAATGCTTTTAAATGCTTTTGAATCTCTCTTGGTTCTAATCTATCTCATTAATCTAGGCTACACTCATATGGACTTTTGCATTGTCAACATTCACTCATGTGTGAACACAAGTGAATTTGGCAGTATCTAATAAAACTGTACATAAAACTGTAATTAACTTTATCTACTTTTGAAGTAAATGCTTGTGAAATGGTCCCTCTACCATTTGATATTAGCACTGGCTAAGAATATTCTCTATTTTTGAAAGCATCTATGGTTGATGCATTTATCTATTCCTATTTCCTCTATTTTTTAACTCCAAAGCTCGGCTGCAGCTTGAGCAAAGGCATATTTCTAATTTGTGACTTCTGTCACTTTTAATGGCTGTAACATAACTCTGATTCTAATATTATAGCTGATCTATCAAAAGGATAACATTGTAGGGTACTATTTTAACTCTTACGTGGAAATATGTTTATGAAAAACAAAGGAAGTCAAATTCTACTTTTTTACTACTATTTAACATCTACTAAAACGCTACAATACTCATACTTTATCATTTTAAAACATTTTAACAGTTGCTCAGTCTACCAGACTAAAAAAGTCAAAGTTTTTGTCTGTCAGATGTCTGAATACTTAACATGTATATTGCATTTGGTCACAGGTTCTGGTTGTAGCAATAGCATCGGCAATAGACGTTTTCATTGGCTGGTTCTTGTTCTGCAAATGGCTGTGTCCAATAGATCATCAGATGTCCAGAAGCTAGGGACAAACAAAAACAAAAGAAAGAATCATGAGTATCTCTCTCATTTAGCACTCATCAATGTATGATTTCAAAAATATAAACATCACTCCCCAGTTTTCTCTCTCAGGTCCTCAGGTCCTCAGGGTCCCCTGAGGGCGAGTCTCAGTCGTCATCAGGTCAGGTCATCTTGGACATCAGTAGGGTCCAAGCCATGGTTCTGGTCACTCCAGATGCACATCAGATCTCCAGATACAGTCTTTTCACTTGAAGCACATCAGGTCATTTGCGATGCACTTCTGGTCAATGGTGCAGTGTCACAGTTCCTGTACACAGCTTGTTATGCAATAGTTACTCTCTATGGTTAAATCACTTTGATTCTACTTTAACACAATTTCTATTCATGCTGTTGCTAATGTCCCTCAGACAAAAGCAAGCGCAATTTCAGTTTACTTCTCTAATTTGTGTTTTTATCAGATCTAATCCTCATCAATGTAATTACTTCACACAGTACAAAATCAACAAATCAAAAGTGTCAGGACAGACGTCAATTAAGTCCATGACAATATAGAATTCAAATGAACATTTCTGGTCTCAAAAAATACTGATTCAACTAAAGATTCAAGTGATAGACAATTAAAAATGTGTTTACATTGGAGTAAACTTTTAAAATGCTTTTTTCTCATGTTCTGCTTTTTCATGTATCTATATGTAAATGTGAATGTGTGAGTGTATGTGTGTGTGTGTGTATATGAATTTTGGGGTTGTCTCTCCAGACTCCACGAACCACCTGTAGGTCTCAAAGGTCACACTGTGGTGATGTAAACCAACTGGACACACTCTCAACTCCCTCTAGGTCTCTACCTGACGCTCCACCCATCACGTCTCCAGATACCTCTCTTTCATGGCCCCGGTCTCTCTCACACCCACTCAGTTCTGCAGTGGCGTGGGGAGGGGCAAGGAGGTGGCATTTCCCTTTGCTCTTTGATCTGTGACCTGTGGCTGGGTGGGCTTTGCGCTGTCCAGTGTCCAGCAGTGACCTCTCGTACAGTGTGTGCTCTCGGTTCTGGAAAACAACCTTATAGTCAAATTAAAAACAACAGAGATTGTGAATGAGCTTGTTTTTCTCTCTGAAGTCAAAACAATTTGAGCGCTCTGGGTTTTCCCAAGCGCTATGTAAATAAAGATTACTTATTCTCTTACTAATGATGACATTTTAAAACCAGAAACTAAAGAAGTTATCAAAACAACAATTATACTCAAAACAAACAACCTTTTAAACTTTAAAACATGTTTTATGTACTTTTGTACTGTGTGATTAATTATCTATGCATTTATCTCAGCATATATTTTACTAATTTAAAATAATTGCAGCATTTTTCAAATGAAGTCAGTATGAATTGGAGCACATTTTAGACCAGTCTCCTCTGCTGTGGCATCAGCAGGAGCAACAAGGTCAGGCGTGTAGTCAAAACAAAAACAAAAGTCACCACTTGCATGTGAATTGGGTAGTTTAACTTAATAATATAATACTTTTACAGCCTAATTCCCTCTTTCTTTTTTAGACGAAGTCTACAATCATTAATCACTTTTAACAGATTCTAATTTAAATGTTTGAAAAACGGCTTTTGTAACTAAAATAAAAAATACATGAAAAAATTCTCACAAACAGCTATGAAATATATCAGAGATACAATAATGGACTCACAAAATAAGCAGCAGATTTAAAAAGAAAAGCAAAGCTTTTTGTACTAATCTTTGGGTTTCAAAAACATACTAATTCAAAACGTCTTCACTAATGGTGTTTAAAAACGTTTAACTGTGTCTAACACAATGTTCAAATGGCAAATTTAGCAAATTTAACGGAATAACAACTATGAAAAGCCAAAAGTCCTAAAGCAGTAGCTTTGCTTCAGATTCACAGCCAGAGTAGCGAAGGAGGGGGCCGTTTCCCTGACAACGGCAGCAGATAGAGCGACGCACACACACAGGCAAAAAGATACAGAAGAATAACTTTCAAGATTACTTTGTTAAGCGAATATAACTGATGTTGTTCTTTATACTTTTGTCATCCAAATCTAGAAGTGATCACTTTCCACACTAGTAACAAAAGGCACTCTTTAGTGTTTAACGTTTCCCTTTTTATAATTACTTTTAATTCTACACCATGGTTTCTATCAAAGGGACTTTAACCCTGAAGCTTCTTCTCAAAGGGACTTTAACCCCGAGGCTTTTCTCAAAGGGACTTTAACCCCGAGACTTTCTCAAAGGGACTTTAACCCCGAGGCTCAAAGGGACTTTAACCCCCGAGACTTTCTCAAAGGGACTTTAACCCCGAGGCTCAAAGGGACTTTAACCCCGAGACTTCTTCAAAATACAATTTAGAGAGTTTGACAGACCCCAAAAAACAGACCAAAATTTAGCTAATATCCAATTATGCAGACTTTACATATAAAAAGGTGTCTGCTTACCTTATTCTTGTCAAACCGGTTCCAAGGACTGTCCGAGAGGTCTGCCAACCTCTTTTCCGCGTCAAAAAATTCAATTTAAAAAACAAAA